CATATATCAAATATCACAATGCACTCTGTACCTATGGCTGCATATTTCAAATGCACTTATTAAAGTAGAAGGTGTTTTATAATTATGTCCCAAAGTAGAAAAAAAATGTGCCCTTTTAGTATGAGGAGGGGAATAGGAGGAATGTTTGCTTGAAAATACAGATAGGAACTGGTAACACAGGAAATCCAGGGCGGATGATCCCTTCAGGACCAGTGGTGTGAGTGGCAATACTGGGAGGGTAGGGGGAGGGTGGGTGGAAAGGGGGAACCGATTACGAGGATCTACATGTGACCTCCTCCCTGGGGGACGGACAACAGAAAAGTGGATGAAGGGAGATGTCAGACAGGGCAAGATATGACAATATTATAATTTATCAATTATCAAGGGTTCATGAGGGAGGGAGGAGCGGGGAGGGAGGGGAAAAATGAGGAGCTGATGCCAGGGCTTAAGTGGAGAGCAAATGTTTTGAGAATGATGAGGGCAATGAATGTACAAATGTACTTTACACAATTGATGTATGTATGGATTGTGATAAGAGTTGTATGAGCCCCTAATAAGATGATTAAAAAAAAAGAAAGACAATATACCTAAAAAGTAGTTAAATTAGAAAACAACTTGTTTATGACATTAAAAGTCTCTGATATTCTATTTGAGAATTTCCTAGCAGTGAGCCCTAGCATATCTTATATTTCCTCAGCCTGTTTGACTCTCTTCTTATTTTTGCAATGGAAACAGCGCGAGCTCAAAAGTCTACTTCTTGAGGTTTCTTCTATTGTCCATCCCACTGCTACGACAGTATCAAGGAGAGTCATTAAATGAAAACTTGGTTTACTGATTTCTGTCATAGTCTGTGCTTTGCTTTTCTCTGAAGTATTTGTATATCTGTCTATTTATAAAATATTTATACCCTCCCCCGCCTTTTAAATGTTGTTCAGTAATGTTCCCAATATTTCCTTTTACTTGTTTGCTCATTTATTTTGACTTTAATTTTCTTGACGTTATATAGTTTGGAGGATTTAGATACTAAATGATTTATTAAAAGTTTGGCCTTATTTTTTCCCCCATTAGAGTTTGAGTGATTATTTAAACATGTAGCACTTAATACATCAGCAAACATTTAATAGATGTTCCAGGAATGCTTGTTTATTAACTTAATAAGAATCCTAAAGTGTCTCCCAATGCATATATATTAGGAAATCTAAAATCCTGCTTATAAAAATATAGTGAATATCACATTGGGATCTTAGCTTTGATGTAAAGAATACTGGATATATAACTGATTGAATTATTTAAACTTTTTCAATCATTGATAAGGAATATAGATTTATATCGCACATAAAATGTTTTAGTCATTACAACATATTTTAGTGTTTAAACATTTTACCTTTAATATGAAATGCAAATTTTGATTTATAAGTAACAGTAATTTAAGGTTAAATAATACATTGGTTGGATAACTGCGGTCATTAAATAAAATCACAATTGTCTGGGTTAGAAAAAAGTATTTTGAAACTAAAACCTTACAGAAATGTTAATTTATAATATAGAATTCAAATTAAAAAATCAGTTTTATGTATTTATTCCACTCAACTGTCAACTACAGTACTAAGTCAATGCCAGTGAGATAACATAAAATTTAATTTTTAATAACAACTACCTGATACCACGTTAGGCCATTTGAAAAATCAGTGCCATCTTGGGAGTCTCTCTCAGTAATCAATTCCAGAGGATCATTTTACTCATTATGGTGTCACAAGCGAAAGTATTACATAGAAGATCTGGGTTCAACTACCAACTCGGCCACATGCCAGCTCTGTGACTTTGAAATTCTTTAGCACAAGTTTGAACCCAGAAAACAACAACAGCAAAATGAGAGATATCCCTACCCATTCCTCTCTACTTAATATTGATGCATGAACTTCATACTACGTGCACAAAAAGCATTGTGAGTACCGAGCTCTATTAGTACAAAGTATCGCTATTCGATTTAGCAAATTCTATGTCTGGTGTCTAGTCTATTTCAAGTCATTCAGCAAAGATGATTATACAAAAGTATTTTTTCTTAACCATTTACTACTACAAGAATGTTTATAGAAATTGGTGGAGATCTTTAACATCCGCATCACTTCACATTTTCATTTGTTTTATCTTTGTGTGGCATATCCATATCCATCCATATATTGAGTGCATCTAAAAATAAAGCCCAAAGACATGAGCATTCTGCTATGAGCATCGTTTCCTTATACTGCAGTTGTCTCCAAACAAGCATACCCTTTCTTACCTGCTCTAGTGACCTTAGGGATTAGAGTTTCAGAGAAACAACCAGAGGTAGTAGCTGTAGCAAGACGGCAGCTGGGACCATATGGATCCCAGCATCCTGCCTTATGGCCATTATCTTTGTTTCTATCTTTTTGCTGCACTAGGTCTTTCTTGTGCTCTCCCTCTGTCTTCTCCTCCCTGCCTCCTCCTCTTCCTGACTCCAGCTCCCCTGGCTCCCTGTAACTTATCCTTCCTCCTTCTCTCCCTTATTGATACAAGATGAAACGAGATTCCCTAATTAGGCAATTTTTTAAAAGAGTTTTTAAGTGGATGTAAGCCACCATTACCTAACCTCACCCCCTAAAAAGAAATAAGGGATAGTAGTGGGAAAATATTATTTTGTATATATTATCAACTGGAGTGTATTCAATTATAGGCCCCTTAAGGACTTTTTTTTAAAGTAAATGCAACAATTTTCTCATTTTCTGCATAGGAATGGGTTTTTGCTGTCATAAAAAAAAAAAATTGAGAGTAACAAGAAAGAGTAGTGAGTAATATCCTTTCCCCTTCCCCAACTGCTGAAAATGAAAATCAGGTCAGCACTAAGTCATTTTTGCCACATCCCTTGTTCATAGCTTTTTCAGGGTGGGTCATAATTCTGAGTTTTGTTAGTGTCTTAACTCCATAGTGACATGTCTCAGTCGGATCCCATGTTGATTTTCTTGTGTATGTCTATTTTAAGGATGCCCAGGGACTGAACAGATCTGCTTATTGAGCTATTATCAACTTTCTCAGAAATTGTACAAGCTTGGAATGAAGAATAAATTTACTAATATTAGGGTCGTATTGATTTTGATGTTTGCAGTACGAGCATGGTGTGTCATTATATATGTCTAAAAAAGTAAACTTACTGTCTGCCTGTCGCCAGAAAAAAAAAAGTGGGACCTAATCAAACTGCTGTGGGGTCAACCCTTGTGGTTTTAAAGGCCCTTAATGTTGCCCAGCTGCAAAATAAAAGGAATTGGGAGGGGAAGTTGGAAGGAGTGGAGGGGGCTGGGGGGGAATGTGTGGAAAAGAACAGGGAGTCTGGCTTTTATTTTTTTTTTTAAGTGAGTTCAGTGCCAGCCTGGACATTGGCTGTTCAGACTATTGAGCCATTGTCTGCTCCATTTCCAGAATAGCCCCCAGTTAATCACTTCGGCTTTGAAGGGAATTTCCTCGTGGAATTCTCCACAGAAAATCTAATCAACTGACCTGCCCTCTCAACAATGGAAGGCTTTTTTTCTCCCTTTCCCTTATTGGGGCGGGCTCTGTAATGTAGCCTTTTGTGCGGCATGAACCCTCCCAGTAGGAGTGGAGAGCGTGTGTGTGTGTGTGTGTGTGTGTGTGTGTGTGTGTGTAGCATGCACACTATCTCGTCGTGGTGGTGAGTGTGTGCTTACTCCCTGACCAGATGCTGCGTTACATGGGGCAGCCACCATCTCTGCATGGGTGTCTGTGTGAGTGCCTCTCTCTGGGTGTATGTGCCTCTGTCATTTCATGTCAAAGGTACATTACCTGATTACCTTCCTTGTCTGCCAGATTTTTATCTAGATAATTGCAACTGTTGTGGAGGCTGTGCCTTAGCAGCCAGCTCAGGATCTATAAAGCCATAGTTTGTCCACCTTGTTATCTGCGGCTGCCCGGGCAGAGGAAATTAAGGAGACCACAGCCCGGGAGCGCTCCCTACCCCAGACCCCCAGCCTGCCCGCAATCCCCACCGCCTGGGCGGACTGCCTTTCTGTTTGGCATCGGAGGGGGGGGGGGGGGGGGGGGGGGGGGGGCGGCTGGTGTTGAGTGGTGTCGTGTTTGCCCCCCGTGTGTGTGCCACTGGCATGCGGTTACCTCTTCCCTCTCCGCCTCGCACGCCCGCCGCGTTGGATGGAGTTTGGAGCGGAGGAAACTTTGCTTGGGTTGCCAGGGCGTTCGCACCACTTTGTGGAAAGCACACGCTAGCAGGGAGACGGACGGAGTGAGTGACAAGTTGTTTACAGGTTTCCTTGAAGGGGCCTCTGCTATATTTCAATCTGTCAAAGTTGCTTTTCTTCCCTCAGAACAATGCCCGATTGTTGTGTGTGAGTGTGTGCGTTTCCGTGTGCGCGCCGAGATCGCCCAGAAAGGGGTGAGAAGGACTAACACTTCTTTGTGTGAAAATGCCCTTACTTTTATTTTTATTTCTTTTTTTTTTTTTTTTTTTGTGCGCGTGTGCTTGGCCAGCCCCTGCAGTTTCATCGGCATTCTCTTCTGATCAGACGTCTCTTGTAATCGGCACCCAGTGCATTTCAAAAATCCTACTGGGGTTTTCTTTTCTTTTTTGCGTGTGTGACTTTTCTGATTGCGAGGCGAGCGTGGACGGACGGGAGGAGGCGCGTTCAAGGAGTTGACTGCTCCCGTCCAGCGGCGTCTGAGAGAGCGAGCGTTCGAAGGGAGGGACGGACGGGCGCCCGGAGGTCCTCCGCTGCCGGCGGCCCGCGTGCGGCTCCCCGGCTCCGAGGAGGGGGAGCGGCCGGGCGCTGCTGGGAGTGCGCTACCCCTTTAAGAGACTGGTCAAGGAGTCCGAGGAGGGGAGGGGGGGTGAGACTGAGAGAGAGAGAGAGAGAGAGAGAGAGAGAGAGAGAGAGAGAGAGAGTCAGTCAATTGGTTTAGAAGGTTTGGACTCACTTGACAGGTTCAGTTGGAGACCGTCATAGGTGGCCGCGGTGACAAAGGGAAATTGTGCTTTTCCAGCATGCTTACTGACCCTGATTTACCTCAGGAGTTTGAAAGGTGAGTGCTGTTTTCTGGTTTTTTTTCCCCTTCCCCTCGAATATTGAAGTACAACTCTCTCATTGTACAGTAGTCTCTGAATCAATTGGAAGATGCTCCCCCCGAAACATGTTGGTTAGAGCAGCCTCGAGCTAGTGCTTCTGCAAGTCTGCGAGCTGATGTTTGCTGTGGCTTCCCAGACTCAGTTGAACTGATTTGCAGTCTGAGATTTCTATTAATGTTTGCATCTTATAACAAGAAATTAGATGAACATTAAGTCTCTCTCTCTCTCTCTCCACTTCTCACTCTCACTCTTTCTTGTATTCTCTTACTTTCTTTCCTTTGGTGTTGGCACCTCTTCTACAACCCTCTGAAGCATGTTTTTGTGCAGAGCGTTACCCTGTTTCCAGTCTCTGTCTCATGTAATTTCTGGGTGACAGAAGGTTGTGGCGGTGGGCAAAACGGAGGCTGTAAGTTCCTATTTGATCCTTCCGTAAAAGTTTGGAAGCAACACAGTAAGCACATGACCTTTTGTTGATATAAGACAGAAGTTTAAATTTAAACAAAAACTTGTTTTTACATCACTATAGTTTATTCATAGCTTGCTAGTGAAGTGTCAAAAAAAGAAAGAAAGGCAGAAAGCAAAGCAATGGGAAAGGAGGATGGTCTCTTTCTAAGTTTCAGGGATAGTTCTTTTGCGCTGTCTTAAGCTGAATTGTGATTTACTGTTTTTCCTCCCTTTGCTATAATGGGAATAAGGGTAATTAAGCTGTTCCTATTTGGAGAAATGCGTGTAATATGCTTCCATTTGATGTTGTTGCAAGTAAAGTAGGACTTGGTAGGAATGTTAGTCCTCTTCATGTCCCTCTAAGTACACACTGCAATTTAAAATTTTGAGTTCTTACCCCAACATAACTTCATTTTTGTGAACTATAAATAGAATTTTGTTTGCCATTAAAAAGAATTCAAACTTTGCATTCTGTATGATGAATAATAATAATTTAAAAAGCTAAAAAAAGGCAGGATGCATGATACCCAGGCTTTTTTTTTCTTCATTCTCATGAAAGCTACCTTCTGTATAAACATTTGTTGTATCTGACTATGCAATGCACGCTAGGTGCTAGACCAGCTGGTTAAAAATATGCTAAGTCAAGCTGTTCATCGCTCAAACGACTGAATTTGATATGAAAAGACGAAAAAAGAAAGGACAAAGATTAAAACATTCTAGAAGTGAAGCAACGGAAGAGAAAAAAAGAGTACTGAGAATGAAATAATGCTGGATAGTGGTTACACAGTAGAGAAGCCAGTATCAGATCAGAGAAGTAAAATAACCAAGAGATACACGTTCATGTTGCTTTCTCTCTCTCTTTTCCTCTTTATGGGGGGTTGGTTGGTGGGGGGTAAGGTGCATCCTCACTAGATAAATGCATTGACTGATTGAGAGTTCTTAAGAGTTTGGGATTGTTATTATTTTTAAGTTCCATATGTTAACCCTTTACGTTAGCTAGCTTTGATTTGGAGAGATAGCCTGTTTCACATGTAGACCTTAAAGTTATTTAGATTGGAGCATACGATTGCCTGATGATGCGATTTGCTAATTTAACACTATAAGTTTTCTAGGATACGCAAAGTAGCACTTAAGTGATGGTATTCTTTAATTTTAATTATATATTTTTGAAAATAAAACTCTTGAGTCTGATTTGCAAGACTGTAAGCAGATTGTTGTTATAAAAAGGTAGTTACATATTAACTGGATGTAGCCTATTTCTGTATATATGCAAGGTCCCCTGCTGTGAACTTTATTTGTATTTTTTCAATTATCTCTTTTTAAACTAAACGTTTCCCTTTCCTATTCTGATACCTAAATCTTTGAATATTGTTTTTTTTCTCCTGATGAGAATTTCATTTTTGGTCACCCGGAGGCTTACTTTTTAACTGGCTAATTAAATAATCAAATGATAGTCAACAGGAATGTTAGCATGGACAGTATATTTGGGAATATTATTAGCTAAAATAAAAATTTTAAATGCCATATGATGTAAAATTTCATAATAATTTCCCCTGTGGCTGTAATGGGTAATACATACAAAACCCCCAGTAAATCATTACTATTTGTTTACATTGAATTTCTACGAGTGAATGTATCCATCCTCACCCTCATAGAGTAAGTGCATCATGTAGACTCAGCATTAAATATTTATGCTATTTAAAAGAGAGATATGTCATGTACCCACACTATTATATATAATTAGAGATTCTCTTTTTGCCTTTTGAACTCTTTTCAACTAATATTGTATAGATAAGTGAATTGTCAAGTATTAATTTTTATTTTACTTACCAGCTAAAGATGAGTTTGTTTGTTTTTAAATTTATACTTGGTAGGAAATCTATTTACATTATGAAAAATAAAGTACCATGTTATATAGGACAAACATAAATTGCTTAGGGCTCAAGTATTATGGAAGTGTTATGTATTCTTTCAAGAAAAACATTTCACTGGTAGATTATTACCCATCTTTTACTATTCTTCCCAACCTATAAACTATTTGTAACTAAGGAACATTCAAAATTTAAATAGCTAGAATAAAAATAATTTGTATTTGTCTATAATATCAGCTCTAGAAATTAATATGATCAGTACTACATAATAATAAGCAATATTTAATCAGTTCAGAAGTAGTGACAATTTCACTGTTAAAAATGTTCGGAAGGTATAGAAAATTGAATAATGAGTCTTACAGAGCAAAAAAAGTTTAGATATTTTTATTTTCAAGCATCCTTAACATAACAGATTATGATTAATGAAATATAACATTTTCTGTTGGTAGTCAAAAGGGCAAGGTATGGTCTCAGTAATTATTTTTTTCAGGTCTATTATAGTGTATTATTTGGAGGAGACATAACTGGCACCATCGTCAAAATGTTGATAATAGTGTCATGGAGTGAACACTTGAACTTTATCAATTTTTGAAAAAGATGTCAGTAGAATTATGTATTTAACTGGAACTAAATAATTTTGAAAAATTGCTGTATGACTTTAGGAATCCCCCTTTGAGAAGATCATCTATGTATTAATTAATATACCTAGGATGGAGAGATAGTAAAATAACTGCACTGACTATCAATATATTTAATTCTGATGAATGAAAATAAGAAAATTTGGACACTTTCAAAATATTGTTTCATCTGCTTTATGTGCATAGTTGTCTAATTTGATGAATAAAACCATTTTATGTATAAGCTGCTTGTTATAATTTTTACTTGGATTATGCTAGAAACTTAATGGTATGTTTAAATTGATCACTTAGAAAGACAGTGCTGATAATGTCTAGAAAGGAAATAAAAGTTGGGATCTAAGGTAATGGGATGCAGGAGCCTATTGAATTAACAGTTTTTTAACTTCTCTCAAAACGGGTACAGACAACACACTGCCTATTTAATAGATAATTTAGAAAACACTGAAAGACTAAAAGCCTTTTATAATAAAAACATTTATTTACTTTCTCTTCCTATAAATATTTGTTGTCATGTCAACTAAAGAAATCATTTTGTCTCATTAGAAAACTTTTGTATTTTTTTACCCTGAAGAATAGCAGGTAGACCAGGTACTATGAAGAGAAAATTTGTACAATGATCATGAAAATGTACTATTATTGCGTCATAAGACTCTCCTTTTTCTGGCATTATTGTACTTACTTACAGTTTGATCATAACAGTAAGATATTCCTTACCAAGAAAAATTTATTCAGCTTAAATAGAAACTTTAAAAAAGCTATTGCAACTCATGAGTGATAAGTCCATTTAGGTTAGCAGGTAGCCCCTAGGTGTGAGGCCAATGAATGTTACCTGGGCACATTCTGGCACCTAATGGAAATGGTAATCTTGTTGGCGTCATGCTATGGTTTTAGAATGCACCGATATCAGCCTTTGCTCATTGTATTTATTTTTCACATGCTACTATGTTAATAGAAAAAAAAAAAGTTCCTGCAACTGATTACAGATTTTAATTACCATGTCCATAATTTGCAAGTTACAGGAGTTTAGGTCTTGGTTTAGAATGCAGCTTGCATGGAGCAGTGTATTCTCAATGCGTCCCTCACACTTAGCTTAGAGTGTTGTTCAGAACACTGGCAGAGACCTGATGGATCACCAATGACAATGAAGGCTTCAATGTCAGGTGGCATTGTTTACTGACCTGTGTTTAATTGGTTTCCTAGATCTTGAAATGTGTGAATATTCTTATTGTTTCACATATGGGCACATTAGTTTTCATTTCTCAGTTATAATAAATACATGATGGAATAGTTAGTTACCTCTGCTAAGGGAGCCTTTATCTATAATCTAGCTATGCAGCATACATGAGAGGCAAATCCTAAGACTTGTTCTGTTATTTCAGTACATCACTCCTCTATAGAGTTAGAAGCTATTTCAAACAGATTAAACTGATCATGCATTTAGAAAGCAAAATTGCATTTATAGGTAAAGTCTGATTTTCAATGCCTGTTCTTTCTACTAGCAAGTGTTCATCCACCTAGTGATTATGTTATAGGGGCAGATATGCATCATATAACTCGAATACCTCCCATTTTCTAGATTAAATAAGTATAACTGGTGATAGATTTTTGTTTTCTTCCATGATTTGTTATTCATTTATAAATTTAATGCAATTAATCAATTACTGGGGTACTGAATCAATCTAGGTCTACTAACTCACATACAATTCCAATATGCCAGGTTGCTGACTCAGATGAGGGAAAACAGGTTAAAAAGAGATGATTAAACATTTAACCAAAGCATGAGATAGTTTTTTTCTGTTGGAAACAACAAATGTTCAACAAGAAATGTCATGAAACATAGTGAGTGTTTCTCTCTTTCCTCAACCTTTCCTCCTTTTCCTTATGGGAATTGCTAGCATCATCGTTTGTTTGTATTAAATAGCACATTAAAATGCTATCTATGTGAGCATGACCAAGTGATATTTTTAAAGGAGGAAAAAAGTAAAGACCCCCTCCCTTCGATGT